CAGTAATCTTCACATGCATAAAAGAACACATTCTGGAGAGAAACCCTACAAATGTAATCAATGTGATAAAGCCTTTTCATGTGCCAATAGTCTCCAAAGACATGAAAATATACATTCTAGAGATAAACCCTACAAATGTAATCAATGTGGTAAAGCATTTGCATGTGCCACTAGTCTCCAAATACATGAAAGAACACATTCTGTAGAGAAACCCTACAAATGTAATCAATGTGATAAAGCCTTTTTACGACGGAGTCTTCTCCAAATACATAAAAGAACACATACTGGAGAGAAACCCTACAAATGTCATCAATGTGATAAAGCCTTTTCACAACACAGTTATCTCCAAATACATGAAAGTACACATAATGGAGGGAAACCCTACAAGTGTAATCAATGTGATAAAGACTTTTCACGACACAGTCTTCTCCAAATACATGAAAGAATGCATTCTGGAGAGAAACCCTACAAATGTAATCAATGTGATAAAGCTTTTGCATGTGCCAGTACTCTCCAAATGCATGAAAGAACACATACTGGAGAGAAACCCTACAAATGTAATCAATGTGATAAAGCTTTTTTACGTCACAGTCATCTCCAAATACATGAAAGAATACATTCTGGAGAGAAACCCTACAAATGTAATCAGTGTGATCAAGCCTTTGCATGTTCCAGTAGTCTCCGAAAACATGAAAGAACACATTCTGGAGTGAAACCCTACAAATGTAATCAATGTGATAAAGCCTTTTCACAACACAGTCATCTCCAAAGACATGAAAGAACACATTCTGGAGAGAAACCCTACAAATGTAGTCAATGTCATAAAAACTTTTCACGACACAGTCTTCTCCAAATGCATGAAAGAACACATTCTGGAGAGAAACCCTACAAATGTAATCAATGTGATAAAGGCTTTGCATGTGTTGGTAGTTTCCAAGTACACGAAAGAAAACATACTGGAGAGAAGCCCTACAAATGTAATCAATGTGATAAAGCCTTTTTACAACACTGTCATCTCCAAATACATGAAAGAACACATTCTGGAGAGAAACCCCATGAATGTAATCAATGTGGTAAAGGCTTTGCATGTTCCAGTAGTCTCCGAAGACATGAAAGAACACATACTGGAGAGAAACCCTACAAATGTAATCAATGTGACAAAGCCTTTTCCCGACATAGTTATCTCAAAAGACATGAAAGAACACATTACTGGAGAGACGTCCTACAAATGTAATCAATGTGATAAAGGCTTTTCACAACACAGTAACCTTTAAATTCATGAAAGAATTCATACTGGATAGAAACCCTATGAATGTAATCAATATGGTAAAGCCTTTGTATGTACCAATAGTTTCTGTAGACATGAAAGAACACATACTGGAGAGAAACCCTACAAATGTAATCAATGTAATAAAGGCTTTTCACAACACTGGCATATCCAAACACATAAAAGAACACAATCTAGAGAGAAACCCCATGAATGTAGTCAATGTGATAAAGCCTTTGCATGTGCTGGTAATCTCTGCATACATAAAGGAACTCATACTGGAGAGGAACCTTACAAATGCAATCAATGTAATAAAGCCTCTATATGACACAGTCATGCCCAAATACAAGAGGAATGCATTCTGGACAGAAACTCTATGAATTTAATGAATGTGGCAAAACCTTTGTATGTCTCAACAATCTCAGAATACATAAATGAATACATACTGGAGAGAAACCCTAAAACTGTAATCAGTGTGGTAAAGCCTTTGCAATTCAAGGTCATCTTTAGATACATAAAAGAACATATTCTGGAGAGAAACCCTATGAATCTAATCAATGAGATAAAGCCTTGTCAAAACACAATCACCTTCAAATCCATAAAATAGCACATACAAGAGAGAAACCCTATGAATGTTATCAATGAGGTAAATCTTGGATGTGCCAGTAGTCTCTGAATACATAAAGGAACTCATACTATTGAGAAGCCCTTCAAATGTAATTAGTGTGATAAAGCCTTTTCATGCCACAGTCCTCTCTAAATACATGAACGAATACATTCTAATGAGAAAACCAATGAATGAAATTAATGTGGTTAAGCCTTTACATGTGCCAGTAGTCTCCAAATATGTAAAAGAACAAGTATTGGAATGAAATCCTGTGAATGTAGTCCATGTGGTGAAGCCTTTTCACAACAGACCAGTCTTCAAGTACATGAAAGAACACATACTGGAGAGAAAACCTATGAATGTAATCAATGTGGTAAAGCCTTTGCATGTGTAGGTAGTCTCTGAAGGCATAAAGAAACACATACTGGAGGGAGATCCTATGATTGTAATCAATGTAGTAAAGCCTTTGCATGAATCAGCAGTCTTTGAAATCATGAGAAAAAAAAATTACACTCAGAAAAAACCTATAAATGTAGTGAATGTGGTAGTTTTGCAGTTTATATTAGTCTTTATACAAGAGTAAAACTTAATGTGTAATTTGTCTGTTAAGGCCTTTTCATTTTACAGTAGTCTTTGAAGACCTAAAAAAAAAAAAAAAAAAAAAAAAAAAAAAAAAAAAAACCATAATACTGAGGGAAATCTGGCCATAAAGAATTTGGTAAGATCTTTACCCAACAGATTTACATTCAGTTACACAAGATTACTCTGGAGAAAATATTTGACAAGTGTCACCAATCTGTTCAAGCATTATGATGCCCCTCTTTTTCTATTTGCATTTTTAAACTCATATAAACAAAAACCTATGAATTTAAATGATGAGCTAGACCCTTTCTATTCCACATTTCTCTTCAATTACATGAAATTAAGGCATCCAGGTATAAAACTTGATGTGTATTAGTGCCTTTTCTGTTGCTGTGATAAAATATGTCTATGTCAACTTGTAGAGTAGTTGGCCCTTGGGTCCACAAAGATACCGGATCACCATGAAAGTGGCATGGCAACAAGTGTCAAACATGGCAGCTAAATGAGGAAGCTAAGAATTCACATCTTCCACCTGTGGCATGAAGGGGAAAGTGGGAACTGGAAATGGTGTGTGAATGTGAACTCTCATGTTCACCTCCACGGACATACTTCTTCCAGCAGGGCAATCATCTAAATCTCCCCAAATTGTGGGAGGACTACCCACCACCCCCACATTTCCCCAGAGTGCTCTTGAGTAGGAGCAGCAGAAAATATTAGATAGAAGGATTTCGAGTGGGGAGAAACAGAAAATACAGGATAACCTTGAGAGGGCCTGGAACCTATTCCAACAGACCTTGATTGTCTCTGCCCTAGGGTATTTACAGAAATGCCAAGAGTTGGAACAAAAGATGCCCCCCCGCCCCAGCACAGCCCAGTACAGACCATATCAGATACCTGCACTCAGACCCATGGTCCAACCATCCTCTCTATGCAGACCTGCTGGGTAAAGCCACTAGGAAACCTGAAAATGGGCCCTCACAGGTCCCCCTTTTTTAATATATGAAAAACAACTCCTCATTACTAGTTCATAGCAATCTCCATAGCTGTCACTTCTTTCAGTATGGGAATTGAGAATAATAAAGATGACATTTCTTTTTGGGATTGGGTCCAAGGTGACTACAGCAGTCTTAGCTGCATCCCGCCTTTTCTAAACCAAAAACTCTTAATGTATTTGCAAACTTAAAGAATCCCTTAGTTTCATCAGTAACATCAACAGGTTAACAAATTGTGCTATATATAGTTACAATTCCATCAATCTTACATCTCAAATTAAACTCTTAACAGAACCATTTGAATTTCTTGCTAAGAGAACATAGGAAAAACTTCTGATATATTCACATCAAACTTAAATATTTCATTAACTTCAAACCAGGGTGGATTACTATCAATACATTCAACCTTAATTCACTCATAACTCCCTCTTTTATATTTTTTTAAAACAAAATCTTGAACCTAGTTAGGAGAAAATCCAAACTTTTCCATTTAAACACAACACTAGTTCCATAAGTAAGTCCGTTTTTACATAAACATTTCCAATAAAAGTTCCATTTTTAACACAAAACATTTCATGAATCACCACAGTTAATAAGGCATATATGCATATGCAAAACTGTATCTCGAGCCTAGGTAGAAACAATAAATTTCTTCGTTTAAATAGTTCACTTTTTTAACACAAATAATTCCAGAAAACAGTTCCTAGGTCATCACCATAAGTAAGTTCAAAATTATTCCATTGCAATGAAATCACTTTTGTTCATATCTTAAGTACCAAAATTTAAATAGTAAATCATGGTACCAGCCTTCCAAATATGAAGAAATGTTTTACAAGTAAAAACTTTTTGCAGCTAACAATTTTAGTTCAAACAAGCATCTCTGCACCTTTCATTCTCCAGCCAAAGACATCTTTAGTTACAGTAGCATTTTAAACTGTGTCATAGTTTGCCGCTAGCTCAGGTTTTTCTTTGCTGCATTGATTTTCCAATGGGTCTCAGTTGCAGATGCTTCTCTGTGATTGTCGTACAGGTTCTGGTGTCTGCAATTCTTAGCATCTTAGCAGCTTCTGGAGCTTTTGAAAATGCTCAGACTGCCAGCTTGATATATTAAGCATAGAGTCACATTCAAACATTTACACTTTTTCACCATATACATTAAACATACACTCACACTCAACATTTACACTTTTTTACTAACTCACATATAACATGTCAACATATACTCATTTATGCTTCTTACAACCTAATATTCTTAAAGAAACTTCTTAGCAAATATACTTATATATTTACTTCTTACATTCTTATTTTTAACTTACATTTACTTATACATTTACTTCTTATATTCTTATTTAAACTTACATTTGCAACTAGCATCTTTACTTTTTACAAGCTTATTATAGGACTACCTTTGCAAATATACTACATGTCTTTACTTTTTAAAACTTATTACTACATATCTTAAAGACATTCTATACATCTATTAGCATATATCTAACTTAGCAAACACCTAAAAGATTTCTACCAAACTTATACTATAGCACTATTAGACTCTCTTAACACAACAGGAAGTACACAAATCATTTCTAAAGTTCAGAGTTTCTAGTCAGCTTTGATATACAACACTGGGATTTAGTGAGTGTTGTTATTATGGAGTTGTAACACTTGTTGCTAAGGGACTGTAACATTCTTGGATGAAGCCACACCCCAAAGTTGCTGAGTTCTTTCAGCCATTCTGGAACTAGCAGAGATGCGCTCTCAGTGGTAAATGGTTTTTAACTAGAGGCTGTCCCTTCACCCCACTTCATAATAGCTCCCCTAAATGCTTCAATTTAGACAAATGTTTCTGTTACAGCAGTACTTTTGGTTTGCTCTACTGAAAAGCTTTGCTTCAGGCTGAGGGTGAAATTACCATATTGAACAGCTGTAATCTCTTAGCAAAAATCTTACACAGCTATTAGGTGATAGAAAGTATTTCCCCAAAGGAGCCATAAAACCAAAAAGTGGCATAGCTCCAAACTTAATTTCCTTACATTTTGCATTAACCAGTGAAAAAACCTCTGAAACACTAATTCAGCCACGTTCATTCTAGTTCCTCTATGAGAATGTCATTGGAGCTGACCTTTCTTAGTTCCGTGCTCCTTACCAAATGCTCCAGTAGCCACCAAGCTTCATTCTCCTCTTGTGAAAAAACACAAACCTGTCCTCGATCCTATATTAACACAGAATCAGGTCCCTTCCATAATCCTGAGCAGGAATCTTTCTATTTCACTTGAGCAAAAGTCACTTTGGTACCACTGTACCAAAATCTATCCATGGCAGACTGCTCACAGACATCCATATTCAAAAAGTTCAGAATGAAAAGAGCATGATTTAATGCATTATGTGGTGATTGAGGGTAAATTTCTTCCTTTTTTACTTTTAGTTTTTGAAGCTGTATTTTAAGACTGCTATGAGCCTTTTCTACAATATCTTGTCCCTGAGGATTGTAAGAAATACCTGTTTTATGTTCGATTTCCCATTGGGTACAAAAGTGTTGAAAAGCCTTACTACTATATCCAGAGCCATTATCAGTTGTAATAATTTTTGTTATACCCATATAAAAAAAACACTTCAAGCAGTGTGTAATGACATGCTTTGTAGCTTCCCCAGATTGTGCACTAGTCATTAAAAATCCTAAATAAGTGTCAATGGTCACATATACATATTTTAATTTGCCAAATTCTGCAATATGAGTGCCATCCATTTGCCTTAGTTGATTAGGAACAAGACTTCGATGGTTTACCCCTAAGTGAGGGACAAGAAAATATTTTGGACATACCCCACATTGTTTAACTGTTTTTTGAGCTGCTTCCTTGGTAAGATCAAGTTGTTTTCTTAAGGTTTTTCTATTTTGATGAAGAGTATGTGACTGTTGAGCCATTTCCACTTGGGATAATGCTACTATCCTTGTTAACTTATCAGCCACTGCATTACTCTCAGCTAAAGGACTAAGAAGATTGGAGTGAGCTCTAACATGGCCCACAAAGCATGGGCATGGCAGCTTTCTTTTATGAAAAGCATCTTGAATTTGTTGAAATAACATTTTAACTTGATTGTTGTTAGTCCCAATATAGGGAACAGTTTCTATGATTTGAAGAGCTCTATAAATATATTGGCTGCCTATATATAAGTTAAATGACCTGTCTACAAGAACCTGAACAGTCATGTTCACTGCCTATAATTCCACTATCTGTGCAGAAGCTGGAGTTGTTTTTACTACATAACTTTTTCCATTAATAACATAAGCACCTGAGTTCGTGCGGTGGCGGCCGAGGCGGTGTAGCTCCGTGACGGGTTCGGCCTCGCACGCGCCTCCCACCCAGCGCTGCCACGATGCCCAAGAGGAAGGTTAGCGCTGCCGGAGCGGCCAAGGCGGAGCCCAAGCGGCGCTCAGCGATGCTGTCGGCCAAGCCCGCCCCTGCCAAGGTGGACGCGAAGCCAAAGAAGGCCGCGGGGAAGGATAAACCATCAGACAAAAAAGTGCAAACAAAAGGGAAGAGGGGAGCAAAGGGCAAACAGGCGGAGGTGGCTGACCAGCAAACCACAGATGTGCCTGCAGAAAATGGAGAGGCTGAGAACCAGAGTCCAGCCTCTGAAGTGGAAGAGAAAGAAGCCAAGTCCGACTAACCATCCATCGTGTCTGTCAGTGTCCCGCCTCCCTTCTTGTACAATCCAGAGGAATATTTTTATCAACTATTTTGTAAATGCGAGTTTTTTAGTAGCTCTAGAAACATTTTTAAAAGGTGGGGGGAAGTCCCGCCTCATCCCATTTTTTAAGTGTAAATGATTTTTTTAAGAGGTTAAATCACTTGCTGGTTGCTTATTTTTTGGTACAACCAGAAAATAGCAGGATACTGAATCAGGAGAGGCTGTGACTGTCTCGGGGGGTCACCATAATATTCCGTAGAGGGGGCTAGTTTTATATCCTACAACACAAAGCATACTTGGAGTCTTGGTCGTGCATTTGTGTCTGGAATATTTTCAGTTATTTCTGGTCTC